ATAAAGTATTTTTAAGATACTCATTTATACAAAATTAAATGGCTTCATAGAACAAATAAATTAATAAAAAGAAACGGTAGCACATTTCCTCCAAAAATAGCTAAATGGAGCATTAAGCATACAGTAACTCTTACTGATAGGAATGAACTAGCAGTAACTTTGTGGTCAAGGCACTGGAGTAGGTCCCAAAAAATCAGAGTTCATGTAGTTCTAGAACAGTCTCAATGAATAATGCTAGATGGGGTCACTAAGCTGTTGAGCCTCATTTTCCCATCTGTTACATAGGATTTTTTCTCCCTTTTACTTCCAGTGGGTGAGGCATTTAATCTTATTTCAGGGAATAAGGAGAGAATAAGCAGCACAGTATCACGTATGCAAGCATATAGCACAGCAACTGTGGTACTCAACCACTTTGCCCAAATTTAAAAGTTCTTTGAAGTGATTCTAACTTTTTCAATTTTTACTGATTAAACTGTTCTCCTCTTGAATGTTATCAAGATTTTAAAAAAACCCAATTATATGAATCTACTCTGGCCTGAAAAATAGGTTAAAAGTTTCACTATTGGAATATGGCTATGAATTATATCTGGTGGAAAAAAGAACCCAAACAAAAAAAAAAAGCCTCAAATCCAAAACAAAACACCTTCCCCAACCAAGTGCCACCGAAAAACCACAATTCCAAATTAGTATCTTGAGTAAGTTCTTAAAGCTGGTAGATCTGGCAACTGCCAAGATCAGTCAACACACAAAGCTAATATTTTTGATGTGCAGAAATAATTAAACGCCCACCTCAGTCTATATATCTATATGACTTTAAGTCTAGCATTTCAAATTACAAACATCTACAGTCAGTGTGACAGACCACAACCAGTTCAAAGATAACAGACACGCCTTTAAATGTGTCAATCTGCTTACATCTACTTTATGTTACACATCCCAGCTGGAGCAAGAAATATTGCCTACACTAAAACGAACAAAACAATTACAAGATAACTGCCAATGTCATAAGAAAAGCAAGAGAACCATTCAAAGAAGTTAAACTCAACACCTTTACAAAAAAACCAAGAACTGCAGAGAGTACACAGCAGTGCAAGAAGGTACTGAATTCAACAAAGTAAAACTCCTGCCTTTTCCTGCCCCATTCAGCTGACCACAGGACATCCTTACTATGTCATGGACTAAGATTGTGTTAACTGAAAAACAAATCAGGTAACATGGTACCAATAAGGATATGAAAAATCTGACCACCCCCCACAACACTTTTCATGCAGACTATGTGTTTCTCAAGGCAGTATTTACATACATAAAAGATCTGTTATCTGTCTTTCACAGCAGTTTGTGGAATATAGTCTATACTACTTATTTAAATCAGAATTAAATTTCCAATTCCCACCATTAACTCAGTACAAGAAAGCGTCATCCCATAAATCAGTGAAAAATTCAGACTTCAGAATGCACATGTTGACAGCACTTCTACGTGAGCAGCAACAGCCAAGTGCTGCACATAATTTTGTCTACAATGGACAGAAAACGAATAGTCCTCAAAATCCCCACAGACCAGTCCATTTAGGTAATTCCACTTTGGCTTTAAGTATTTACCTGTGTTGGCTATACCAGAAATGACTGTAAATATTGCCTTAGTTCCTGTGGAAGACAAGTACAACACTGATTACACAGTACAGAATGTGAAGAGACAATCACAACTACAGGCTCAAGGCTACAGGTGGCAAGACATCTGACAAACTTCAGCTTCCAGGCCAGAAATATATATTGACATAGAGAATGCCACACTGACAATCAAAATAAAATTACAAAGCAAAATTTGCATTATACTAGTTTCTTTAAAGTAGCAGCATGGCTGTTAAATGCTAGCATACCTTGTCTCATGCAAAATTCAAATAATCCTGGATACAGACTATACAACAGAAATTTGTGAAGGAAGATTCATAGCACCTAATTCAACACCTGAACAAATGACCATAAACCCTGTCAAGAGCAGTGGGAAAAGAATTTCTCCACAGCCAGTCCTGAGCATCTAAATTAAAACTCCTAATGACAGCTGTCACAAATGCTTCCCAGAAAGTCTAGCAAATGGCATCTCCTTATGATGGCCAGCACTTTCAACATACCGGTGTCCAAAATTTGGCTGCCATAACTGTATTCATTCTCCTCCAGTTGACATTAATATGCATAGCTGAGAGTACAGATCAAAGGATCAGGCTAGTTATTCAGGCATTCAAATGCAAACTCAAGTCATCAATACTTAATTTGCTTAAAAGCAGATGACTTGCAATAACAGGCATATTCTCACCATGAAAAATGAACCTATGCTTATTATGAATCCTCATAGACCCTGAGTCAGTAAGAGACAGCAACATTCCACAAGCTTTAAAGGTGCTCTGATTTACAACATGAAACTGAAGCTACACATACAGACACACTATTTAAAAAATAGTTTAACAACTTTACACATTAAAAAAGCTGTCAGAGATACAATGTGGATCACTGACCTATTTGCACCTGTAGAAAGAAAAGTCCTGAAAATGATTTTTGAAAATCATAAAGCTGCATTTTATCTAAAAATCAACTGTCTGATTTTTAAAAAAAGAAATGTTATATTCTACTGTTCTGCACACCTAAGTTACAGCAGCTGTTTGTGGTTAAGTACACTTCCAAACTAAAGCTATTTAAAGGTATTCTAGTCCTCCTCCTAAATTTGCACACCCATCACAGAACATCACCTCCTTGGCGGTACCACTATAACTAGAGGACTGCACTGGGAAACAAATGAAAAATCAAGTCAAATAAGAATTCCATGATTTGTTAAGACCAGGAAAAAACTCAAAAATTTGTAATTCCATATGCTGATAATACAGCATTACAAGAACTGTGTCAGCAAATCTGAGAGGTTAGCAGAAATGCTTTACTCAGAGTTACAGCTAAAGATATTATTAGTATCAAACTATGACTGAAATCACAATGAGTTTCAGGCAAATGTAAGAACATTTTTGCCCAAGGATACTCTTGCAGAATAGGGTCTGTAATTAGGATATTGCTATGTTACAGATAAACACAACTCATGCAAATCAAAAATCCAAGTTATGTATTTAGGTCACTTGTTGACGTATTTGATTTAAACTTACCTATTTTTACTAAAATATCTTTTCTTAAATAGTCATTTCACATAAGCAATGTTTCTAAGTAACTTTTTCCTTTTGAGTGTCATCTGAGAAGCTTTTGCAGGTGCAGCCTGGTCCTTTCAAGAACTGTTTATTCTAGGCTAGGGCCTTGGAGTACAAACCTGTCACTTCATGTTGTTTCATGTTTTATTATTGGTCCTAGACATTTTTTGGTGATAAGCTACTGTAGACTCATGTCAATATATGAGTTTAATTATTTTTAAGGAAGTGATAAAATACACTTGTTCCAAAAAGTTTATTACAGCAATTTAAAAACAAATGATGTCTGAAATATGTTAAAACAAGTGAAGTGTAATCATGAATGTATGCACATTGCAAATAACATAATCTATTTTTCTACATATCTAGCATATATACTATTATTGAAGTTAGACTCCATGCAGTGAGCATCAAAGACTAAAGCAACAGTTCTTTTCTCTAAATGATTAGCCTAAGTGTTTTCCCTTACCACCTTCTGCCCCACCCTCAAGCATCACACTACTTATTGTAGTTACTCCCAATTTAAAATCATCTAAGATCGCTACTCCAGAAGTCAGTAAATAACTAGCACAAATTTAAAAGTAACTACAGTACCTGGCAAGAATTTAAAAACTATATGTGCCTGTCAGATCTGAACTGTAGGTTCTTCTGAATCCCTGAGATACAGTGACTTTCAGCAGAAGAATGACAAGACAAAGATCAAAAGGACAAATCCTGATACTGCAGAAACTCTGCATCGGTCTCTCTATGCTCATCTCACTAAGGAGAGAGTCCTAACCTTGCAAATAATTGTTGTGAGCTGGCCTGGGTCCACACCGTTCCACATCAGCATCACTTGAAGCAGCCTGGCTGCGTATCAGCTGGAGCCGATTCAGGTCGAAGCTGCACTGTCAAAAGCAGCTTTTTCTTTTCAGATGGAATCTGGTCACAAAGTAGCACACTCACTATGGGCTACTAAGGACTCATGGAGCAAGCAAAACGGACTGTGTAGGTGCAGTGTTTACACAGATCCAAACCAACAGAAGTAGGAAAAATATTAAAATAGCTGAAAGCTTCTATGGCCTCGGTGTCAAGTGACTCTAATTATTCCAGCCTAGGAAAGCTGACACGCGTCCTGCCTAACAAGGACAGGCACAACACGCACTCCCCGCTACCACAGCGGGAAACCCACAGTGCGCGGCACCCCGGGCTTGTTCCCGGCAACGCCGCCGAGCACAAAGCTTCACCACCCTTCACGTCCCTGCGGTTTCCCAAATTCTTGCGAAACTGCCGCCAACCCCATCCTGCCGAGATAAGGGGGCAGCGGCACCGGGCGGGGACCCACACGGGGAGATGCCGCAAGGCGAGGGCACCGGGCAAGGCGAGGGCACCGGGCAAGGCGAGGGCAGGCCTGGCCCTCCTGCCCACCTCGAGCCGCGGAGGCGGAGGGCCGCCCCGGGAAAGGAAACTCGCCGTGACAGTAACCAGACACCGCGCTGGAACAAAAGCGCCCGACCCGGCGGCCACCACGGAGGCAGGTTACTCCCTCCCGGGAACGGGGCGGAAGGGGAGGGAGCGCGCCGCGAGCAGCCCGGTCCCGCGAACACACCCCGAGCCCGGCGCGGGCCAGGGAGTCCCGGCCGGTGCCGGCCGTGAGTCAGTGCCCCGGAGAGGAAGCGGCGTGCAGGGCCGGCGCTCGCCGCGTTCCCCCGCCGGGCCGCTGCCCGCCCCAAAATCTCCGTGGGAAAACTCTGCCCACCCGCTGAGCGACGGCGGCACCGGGAGCCCGGTTCCGTTCTCTCCTCACAACTTTCCCCGCAGCACTCCCCGCCCGCCCCGTACCTCGGTGCTGCTCTCGGCCGTGCTCTCCACAGCCATCTTCTGCCAAGGGTCTGCCAGCTGCGCCAGGGGCATCTTTCCCGTCCGGCTCCCGCAGCCTCCGCGCTCCGCGTTCCCGCTACCCGGCGGGGGCGGCCAGGCAGGCAGCGAGCGCTGCGGAGGGCGCGGGACAGCCCGGCTGGCTCCGACAGCGGCTCCTGCGGCGACTGCTGCCCGCTGCCGCCGCCGCGGTGCGCCCGTCCCTCCCCCGCGCCCTCCCCGCTGCCGGGCGGGGCCGCGCTGCCGCCCTCCCCTGGCCCCGCTTCCGCTCACGACATGGCGGCGGCCGGGCCCGCCCGCGCGTGCGCCCGGCAGCCCCGGCGGCGCCGTTCGGTGCTCGTGAGGGGCTGCGGCCTCAGCGCCCCCGCACCGCCGGGGCGGGCCCGGCCCCACGGAGAGGGGCTGGGGAACCGGGGCTGGGCAACCGGGGCTGCGGAACCGGGGCTGGGGAACCGGGGCTGGGGAACCGGGGCTGCGGGAACCGGGGCTGCTGCCGCCCCCCGGGCTGCGGGCAGTTGGAGACACGGAGAGTTTGTTTGCACAGACAAGCGCGGAGGGAGAAGTCGAGAGGCGGCTGGGACGTGGGGTGGTGCAGAATATCATTAGGCAAAGAGGGAAAGGAATTAAGGTGTAGGAATCTGTTTTTGTGGCAACACCGTTTAAGCAGTGGGAGTTGCTTCGAAGCGGGAAAGTCATACTCCCTCAGGCCGAAAGACATGAAGATAAAGTTGTCAAAAAGAAAAACCCAAAGGTTCAGAAAACGGCCCTTATTTTACTTTTTATTGTCAGCTGTTAGCTGGTACGCAAACATATAAACTGAGACCCTATGGGGTGTTACATGGTTTTCCTAAAATGCTAAGCACTGTCATGAACACCCATGTTTTGTAACATTAGATGGCTTGGCTGATGCTGAAGAATCCTTGAAACATGAGACCAGCAACTGAAGGTGGGTGAGCACTGGTGTCAGACTTCTTGCTGTTGAAGCCAAACTTTCCAGAACTCTGAGAAGGCCACTTAGTTTTCGAGAGCCCCCACTGCTCCGAGCATTTCTAGATTTTGACAGGTCATATGATTGGTTCCATCCTTTATAAAAGTTAACATTCTTTAAATAATTGGAAGGTTTTTTGGAGTGGGAGAAATAGCAAGAGTGCTAGTAATTAAAAGTGTGTATGTGCATGCACACACTGTTGTGATGAATACAGACTGGTTCTGTTTCTGCTTGGTAGCAGTTTTGATCCCACTTCATGTAAATATAAATACCTGTCTACAAAGAGGAACGAAGGAGTGGATAGGCAGTTGCTAATAATGAATCAGTCTTTAGTTGGTCCTACAGAGACTTCCGTATCTGGAGTAAAAGGTCATAGTTGAATGATCACCTGAAGCCAGGAGGAGCAGATGTGCCCTCATTCACTGCAAGTCAGTCTGGCCCTTGCATCGGCCTCTCTTTCAAAGGGCTGCAATTGCTTGTGCTGTCATGTGGTGAGTTATACCAGGGAACTGATCTGCATCAAAACTTACCCTACTGTACCTTTTTTACCTCCTGTTGTCCTAAAACCCCACCAACCAACCAACCCACCATATTAAAGGCTGAAGAGGAGTTTAGACTGCTTCCTTCCAATGTGGTCAAGTTGCAGAATCCTGGCTGGTTATGATATGAAATTTAGAACAATGCAAACATGATATTGAGCATAATGCAAGAAATATTTTTTCATAAGTCTGAGCAGCAGCAGGTCACTTCAGTCTCAGACTGGCTGCTGGAATGTTGAACATAAAACTAATTTTTTACAGCAGTCTTACATTATGTAGTTGACACACAAATCAAGACTTTAAAAAAAATCCCTGAGTTTGTGTAAAAATTCATGATGTTAAAAAAACAGTTAGCTTACATCCCTCTGGAAATAAAAGTTTCTATTCCCTCACAGGAATATTTCACTTGACTTTATGAAAACTCATGCATTTGTACCTGCATCCACTACACAGTCAGGTACATACATCTGAGATGTGCCATTAGGGAGATGAACCTGAGAACTGAAAGATGGCAATCACAAGAACAATACACCAAACCTAAGCTTGCATTTCACATAGTCCAACAAGTCCCTCTTTATAAAAGATTTCCTTCCTCTAAAAAACTCCATGATCTCTTTTCCTTTCATAGTTGTCTAGTCCTTTCTTGCCACGGGTACATATTCTAAATTGTTTGAATTTTAAACTCTTTTTAGAAGGGGAGGAGCATCATAGTTTGGTTATAATTTCCGAATTTTTTACATAGATCTTCTTTTGTCCTTCCCTGTATGCATTTTACAAATCCAAAATAAAACAGGGGCAAAGATCTTCTGCACTAGCAGGTAAGAGAGCTGCAAACAATAGGAATCTGACCTTCTCTGAGGCACTGAAGTAAAGAGTAGGTAGAAGTATGCCATTTCATTGTTCAGGGGTTTCAGTATTATTGCACCACACATTTAAATTTTATAAAAGAGAAAGCTGCATCAGGATTTTAGTAGGAGCTACTGTGCAAGAACAGTCTTCAGGGCAAGAAAATGATCTGCAAAGTGTCTCCGCAGGGAGACATATCAGTTAATCTCTGGGAGATGCGGGGGATTCTGACTTTCAAACCTTGCTAAGCTCGGAGTTGGATCATCCTCCCAGCAAGAGGTAAGATGCTGAAGATATTTTACCTCAAGACAGCAGCTCCTATTTTTCATTCCTTTTGTCTCAGGCCAAAGTGAGGTAGTGCCTTCACCTGTGGCTGCAGACCTCTCCTTTTACCCTCTTTCCCTCTAGGCACAGCTATCTCTGCTTGACTGCAGTCACTGCCAATAACTGTCTGTCACTAGGCTCGGTTGTGGGCGTTGATTTCACCTTTGCATAAGCGGTTGCAATTGTGGTGCATCCACATGGATGTTTTATATGCATTGCAACCGAAAATTTGATCACGTTTGTTAGGAAAAGGGTAGCATATGGCACTGAAATGACAGTGCTGTATAAAATCCCATTAACTTGTCATATGAATTAGATGGGCTTCACATGCTGCACCATTTTTTTCTACTTGTTTCTAACAAACCTCACTAAAATGTCACTCGAATGCAAGGGAGACATCAGCTTAATAGTACTTACCTGTCTTTTCCCACAGGCAGCCTCTTGAAATATATGTGACAGAAATTAGGGAATCTTGCTTATGGCTGGTTGTATCTAATGTTTTGCTTAGCTTTGAAGTAGTACCTACATAGTCTTTGCAATTAGTACAGAATTAATTGCAGAGTTAGTAAATCACCTTAGCCAAGCCCCCCAAAATAGTAAGTGTAAAACAAAAATAGTTTACTAATATTATGATCAGAATAATATTTGAGAACTTCAACTTGCATTTTAAAAATATACATAAAAGCAGAGAGAAAACCAAATGAAACTATGGCAACAAACCCCACTATCTGACACTTATCTAGAAGGTCTAGCAGTGCATTAGGTGGGAATTATGATGCAGTATCTTCTGAATGGAATATGAAACGGTAAACAAAATATGAAAGTGTGAAATTCTGTTTCAAGTATTGTGACCATAGCACTGAGGTGTAAAATTTGAATTTAATGCACAGGAAAATATACAGAAGCTGCTGTCTGAATTTATATGGGAAAAAAACCCCAAAGAGTTAAAAAAATAATCAATAACGTTTATTTGTTTAGCTGATAGACAAAGAGAGTCTCTTACTCTCAAGACACCTGGATTCAATTCCTAGCAGAACACAAAGGACAATTGTGTAATTTAGTCAGTCACTTCATATTGATGAGATTCAACTAAGAAGACTTAGTCTTTCTTCATGACCTTTTGAAAAGTGTGAGGAGGCCTTGATTGAAGAAGCATAAATACATCCTGCCAAAATAAACTAAGGAAGCCTAGTGCTAGTTAGAATTGGTTGCTCTATGCTTTAGGTGCAGATAGAAAGAACATCTCCTTAACCTCATTGGGATATTGGAAGGATAGTTTCAGTGATGTTTGGAAAGCTGACAAAGACCAGGGGAAGAGAGACAAAGTGCTGCAAGAAGTTTCCAGCTGGTGTAAGTTGTCATAGCAGAGACACCAGAGCGATTTGCTGTACAAATCAGAGTTATAATCAATAACTAAGAAGGGAAGAACTGAAATGAATGTCTATTGTGTACTAAGATTTAACCTGACCTTTCAAACAACATCTGCTGAAGGGGGCTTTCACCATTACAGGCCCCTGGATGATGGAATCATACAGGAATGCAAACATTTCCTGCATTTTCCTCTGGCAGGCTCTCCTTTGAAGTTCTAATCCTGCAAGTATAGTAGATGTGATAATGACAATAAGAATGCTTCTAAATCCTATATATGTTAGAGATACAATGTCTGACTCACTGCTTAAAGCTATAGATTTTCTGGATGTAAGTATGTTTACATAAAATTGCACTGAAAGGGTAAAGCATAATGCATCAGGTTCAATGGAATTACTTATCCGAGTTTTATCTGTGGTCACTATGCTAGCAGGAAATAATTGTGCCTGTGGTTTCTACATCCTGAGTGGAAATCTGGAATTCAATAAAATATGGTCTCATTACAGCATACCTGTCTCCAACATATGTTCTCATTTTAGTGTTTCTGTACATACAGATAGCTCAGATTTATCGTCTGAATGACAAAATTTATCCTGTTCACCACAGAGTATAAGAAACCTCTTGCTGAGCTTTGAAATCTTACATGGAAACCTGCTGTCAAATGCCGAATGCAAGTTGTCACCTCTTTGCAGTGGAACATTGAGAAGCAGATTAGAATTTCAGATTGTGGTATTTTGAGACAAAAAGGAAATAGTGGAGTATGAACAAGATCAGTGTTCAAGGGTCAGAGTTCTCTTGCATTAAATACAACACAAGATAGCTGTTCACAAAAAAGGCGACAAAAACCAAACCAACCAACCAACAAAAAGAACCAAAACAAAAATAGATAGAGATAGAATACAATGTTATATTATACAATATAGCAATAAAAAACTAATCAGCTTCACAAATCATTGCTATAAAACACACTGTTGAGAGAAGGGCACAGCACTATTTATGCACCCTACCTCCCCCCCGCCCCCGATCTAGGAATTTAAGGGTCACAGACCCTTTTATTATTGTTATGAAATTAAAGAGCCTACTGACAAGCAAAGCCTACTTTATCTCACTTTTTTTACTATTTAACCTTACTACCTAAA